CTATTGATTCCATGTGTAGGAGGGAATTGAGGCGAAATATTTTGGGGGGCTGGGTACCCGTTCCCACTGTTCGTTTGCTGAGGTGTAGATTTGTTCCAATAATTATTCCAATATTGAGCACCTTGTTTGCCAACATAGCCTGAGATTTCAACAATTCCTTGTGTTGCCGCTTGAAGAACTTGTTTCAACACCCCTTCACCACCAGGAGTATCCACTAGACAGTTTACCGCAGGAAGATGAGGTGGAGCTTGTGAATTCAAGCCGGGGATGCGCCCTGCTGCAATATTCTCTGGGATATTAGCACGGAGTGAGATTTGAGAAGTCGCTGCCGAAGGACAATAGGCTAGCCAACGTCCATTTAAAGACAGGATTGAGGCCTTGTATTGAGATCGCGGGCTAGCCTCAGCTTGACGTCCACCTTCAGCAAAATTGTTGAAAACAGAGGGATCTACAGAAAGACCATGTTGAACGGTTGTCCATACCTTCCCAATACACTTGAATTCGACTTTCTCACCACTATCCCGCTGCTGAAAGATCCATGTTTCACCAGTAATACCAGAGGCTACGACAACATTACCCCGATCCGCTCGAATCGTTAAAGAACCGATAGGGGCCGGTGCTGTAAACAATGGGCTTGATGGAGGTATTGGTACGTGTATTTTCGGGGTAGATAAAAGGGTGACAATATGTCTCTTTGTGCTTAAGGAATATATTTCAACGGTTGTTTGATAGTAGTCTATCAAGTCATCATCGTTGTCGCCGTTGACGGAGCGGGCTGGTAGTCTTGGGGAGCTCGGGCCCTCTTCGTCAACTGGAGCGGCAGGACTTTCTGAAGACGCTTTATATTCGGCGCTGGAGCTGTCGCTGATTGTTCGGACGGGACCGTGTACAACGACCGCGATCAAAGGATATTGGAAAGCAAGTTCCGATGAAGCAGTCCACGGAAGGACCTTGGCATTATAAACCCCGCCTCTCAAACCATCTAAAGTAAGGATTTTACTGAGACCTCTCTTGGTAACATTATGAATACTAAGCCCACCCTCGAATCCGGTGACAATCACGCTATTTGGAGGTTTGTTTGTATCTTGAGCTGGATGAGTATCAAATCCACAAAAAAAGCCTTTCTCGCCAGGTACCAGACCCGAAGTTCTTGGTGACAACATGAGATTGGTATCGGGCGCTCCATGAAAGTGGGCTTGAGGTTGATGAGGGAGTGGCGGATAAGGATTATATCGCATCGCCTGTGATTGTTGTGAATAGCTCGAGGTTCGTCGAGCTGCATAAGCCAGAGCGGAGTGATATTCTTCAGGACTATATGGAAGGTTTCCATCCATTTGGTAACTCATAGGTCTTCTACGGCCTACTGCACTTATTGGCGAGGAAGATAAGGGAATGTGATTATTGGGAGACCCTTTTTGTTCTCTCGCCGGATAGCCGTAGTTCGTGATCTTGTCTTCGTATGAAGACGGCAGAGTAGGCGGCGATTCACCGAGACTTATAAGGTTATTCGGAGAACTGGAAAACGCTGGAATATCCTTAGCCCATTCGTTTGTATTGTGCGTGACAGAAGAACCCTGAGAGGTCGACGATAGTGCCTCCAACATAGGTGATGTCACAGAACTTTCATCTTGTATGGAAACAACTGGCTTCGTCTCCGGAGATGGAGTTGGAGGAGTCACCACGGGTGATTTGTTTTTACTAAATGAGTTGGCAGATTAGCAATCGTGTACGTTCAGGAGAGCCTTTATGAACTGAGAAACCCACGATTTCGCGGCATTATTCTTCGTCACCGCAGCCATAATTCCTCCAGAACCACCACCGCCATCCCTCGCCGACCCATTCTTTTTGCCGTTCTTGGTGGGAATTTGCACTCCAGCTGAAGCGCCTTTGCCAGTTTTGCTAGATTGTGATGTTCCGCCTGTATTGTTGTTGGTTTCGTTATCAAATGAGGTGGGCATTCAAATGGTTATAAAGTCCTATTAAAGAGACTTGCGCAAGTTTCTATAGTTGATGTAATGTAGATGTAGTGTTTATAATCTAGGACTCGGGTTTGATCGAGGTTGACACGATAATGAGGTCGTGAGGTGTTTCGGATGTCTGACACTTGATAGTTTCCCGGGCTTCCTAAATAATCAGAATTCAGGATAACGCGCGGGAAGATTTGAATTAATAAGGAATGTATTTAAAAGGATGCGTGCTTGTAAGTAACTCTAGGGAAGGTAAATGAATATTGATAAAACGATGTATTTATGTTTGTAGGTTGTTGTTGCTCTCCCTTCTTCATAAAGAGCTCCTGAATCTAAGCCGGGCTGGATGGCTGGCTGGCTGGATGGCTATCTGATCTGGTATCGTAGTCTGGTTGGCATATGTTTGCGGTATGAAGAGGGGCATTCGCCAAGAGTGGGGAGATCATGTACACCTGGGCACGAGTTGACCGTATCAGTCAATGGATGGATGATTCAGATATGCAGACGAGGCAGGATAAAGGTTTGTGTATACATACTCGTGGAACCTAATGGATATATAACCAAGTTGTCATCCTTGAGTTGAGAAAGTGTAAGCAAAGTTAAGTTGTTCGATTCTTTGATTTATTACATCTGTGATTATGGCTGCTACTGCTACCCATCTACCTTGGGGTCGACGACTACATGTAGAACACTTTGTTATTGTTGTTATTCACATTACCGAGCTACCTGGTAAGCATGCCGAAGTGCATACATACATACATACATTCCGTTATCACTATCGGAATCGCATTTCCCTTTCCATTTCCCTTTCCCTTTCCATTGTCATTGTTCTTTTGTTCTTTTGTGCTAATTATAGCCACTTCTGATCAATAGCTGAGATGCTTTTCACATCCCGATGCTACACCGCAATATGCGTCGTATCCGATGGCATTCTCCTTAATACTTTAAACATCATTCTGATAGACAAGGTCATTGGGTACCTGGTCTGTCTATCAAAGAACTTTGCCCTTCCTCGCAGCTGATTCCCGACGCCCTTAGACAAGTACTCTAATAGTGTTACCTTGGTATTGATGACGTTTGATATCAGCTCGATGATAGTCATGGGACCAAGTATTCATTGCCTATTATATCGACTGCTGGAATCCGTGATCATAGATGGATTCATAGTAGGAAGATGATTGTCCGGTAGACTAATAATAACTCTCGCTTCTCTGTAGATCTCCTTCCTCTCTTTGTACTTATCGCTGGAGCAAGCAACATGTGCTCATACTGAGTATTGTATATGTATTAGATTCATTGGCTCTAGCGGTAGCTACCTGAGTAATACACTCATATAGGTCATATAACTAACCCCCTTTAAATCGTTGAACGTACCGAGCATAAGCTATACCGTGGATCAAACAGAGTCAAGGCGATTGAGACATCTCCAGACTTGTAACTATTCATACTTTTCCGGGCTTCAGTCGAGGCATATCTGGACTGAAAATTACTTTGAAAATTACTTTGAAAATTACTTTGTAAATTACTTTGTAGATTTGACTGATGTTCATGAAAGTAGGCTGCACAGCAGATCTCAGTAAATTAGCCACGTTAGAAGAGGAGGATATCGCTAGCTCGATTGTCAAGTAATGATAGAACAACGTCTCCTGCAGGTACAGCAAACCCGTTGTTGCTGGTGCAAGACTGTTTTGTTGTTACTAGGATTTTTTTAGATTATGCCGGAATACAAAGCCGACCGCGTTCACAACCTCCAAGGGTTCGCTCATGACAACACATTGAAGTTCCATTGAACCACTGGTACCATTATCACCACCAAGTGCTTAGACTGAAAATTGACACCTTATCGTGGGTATTCTATGCATATATAAATTCCTCACAAATGCCAAAAAACTCACGCCCAACCTTTCCACAATTTGCGCCAAATTTTCCGCGGGCTCCCACTAACTACCAGGCAAGCATACAATGAGTTCGATATCATGTAAATATAACACTATCGTGCTGCCGCAACACCAATCCCATTAACCAAATCCGCCCGAATATAACCCATTTATGCCTTCTTCTTCAAAGCAGCTTTCGCTTTGGCAGCCTTCTTTCTGTTGCTTCTGATCATGACCACACTCAAAAAGGACCCGACGACAGCTGATGCCAACAAGATAAGGATGACAGGTATTCTGATTGCCCAGACTCGAGGAGGGAATACGTTTTGGAGAGGATGATCAGAGTCGACGAATGGCTGGACCCGACAGTTAGCTTCAGAACCCTTTCTTGATGAGGGCATAATATCCGTACCATGAGTAGAGTCCAAATAGTGTAGTAGAGAAAGACGACGGAAGCAGCGACAAGCATCGCGAGGCCAATGAGTTGATCGAGCTGCGCATGTTAGTATAACTTTCAGCGCAACTTGCGAAAAATCAGCTACGCGCGGGCTGGATATATCTTACCATTGTTGCAATAGACTTTTAAAGGAGTGTGATGAAATCAACCCGAACACCGAAAGCTTGAGGGTTTGAGAGGTGTGCCTTTTCCTTACTTTCTGGAGTGAATATCGTGAAGAAATTGAAGACAATTTGATTGTTCAGAAGTACATGAGAGCTTCCTTTCCCTGTCAAGTCAATCTGGTCTTTCGTAATACAAGGGGGGACTGGTGCACGGCTCTCATCTAACAGGTACAATAAAAGCTACGTATAACTTATGTAAGATTAAATACTGGACAGTACAATGATGGTTTGTATGTGTTTTATTGCAAATTGTACGAGGGAAAATGAACGCTGCACTTATCTAGACGCCCCATATGTATTGATCAAACGACTATATTATATGTTTGTGTTATATTTTATCAAAATATAATCGTACAAGGACAAAGTGAAGGCAGCACCTGTAGTATAGCACGTGACTGTTATCTTATCTTAGCTTCATCGCGTTCATTAGCGCGCCATTAACCCTGCGTCAATTCCTCATTTTCAATACCGGTCACCTTTATCAAAATAGACAACCATCTGACGATTTCAATCGTTAGAATCTACCCACGCAATCATGGAGAAGAGATCGGAGGAAGAGAAGCAAGCTGCTGCGAAAGCCGAATATGAGAAACTTCTTACGATGCGATCTGGTGGTACCTATATACCACCTGCGCGCCTACGAGCTCTACAATCCCAGATCACCGACAAATCGAGCAAAGAATATCAGCGAATGGCCTGGGAAGCTTTGAAGAAGTCAATCAACGGTTTAATCAACAAAGTCAATGTCTCAAACATAAAACATATCGTGCCAGAGTTGTTCGGAGAGAATCTGATCAGAGGTCGAGGGTTATTCTGTAGGAGCATTATGAAAGCCCAGGCTGCCAGTTTACCATTCACACCAATATATGCCGCCATGGCCGCGATCGTCAATACGAAACTTCCCCAGGTTGGAGAGCTTCTGTTAAAGCGTCTTATAGTGCAGTTTAAAAAAGGTTTCAAGAGAAACGATAAGGCTGTCTGTCTTTCTGCCACCACATTCATTGCCCATCTTTGTAATCAACAGGTAGCAAATGAGATTGTCGCGGCCCAGATTCTATTGTTGCTTCTCAATAAGCCGACGGACGATAGTGTAGAAATTGCGGTTGGGTTGACGCGTGAGGTGGGTCAACACCTCGAAGAGATGAGCGGGCCTATTGCTCTAGCCGTGTTCGATCAATTCAGAAATATTTTGAATGAGGCAGATATTGACAAACGAGTGCAATATATGATTGAAGTTCTTTTCCAAGTCCGAAAAGACAAATATAAAGATAATCCTGCGATCAAAGAAGAGTTGGATCTCGTGGAGGAAGAAGATCAAATCACACATCGCATGGCCTTGGATGATGATATTGATGTCCAGGATGGGCTGAATATTTTCAAATTCGATCCTGAATGGGAACAAAACGAAGAACTATACAAACGACTTAAAGCGGAAATTCTTGGAGAGGGAAGTGACGATGAGGATGATGACGACGAGGAAGACGATAGTGAGGATGATGAGGAGAAGAAAGAAGAAAAAGCTTTAGAAATAAAGGATCAGAGCAACACGGACCTCGTCAACCTACGACGAACCATATATTTGACTATCATGTCTAGTATCGACCCCGAAGAATGTTGCCATAAGCTGATGAAAGTTACACTACCACCCGGACAAGAGCCAGAACTTCCTTCCATGGTTATTGAATGTTGCTCCCAGGAGAGAACATACTCAAAGTTTTATGGGCTCATTGGAGAGCGGTTTGCAAAGATAAATCGTCTTTGGACCGATCTTTTTGAACAATCATTTGCAAAATACTACGATACCATACATCGTTACGAAACAAACAGGTTACGAAACATCGCGAGATTCTTTGGCCACCTTCTTAGTTCCGACGCTCTTGGCTGGCACGTTCTGTCTATTGTACACCTGAATGAAGAAGAGACAACATCAAGCAGCCGTATATTCATCAAAATTCTTTTCCAGGATCTATCGGAAGCAATGGGAATGGCAAAATTGCAAGCTCGCTTGAAGGACGATATACTGCGACCTTATTTCGAAGGATTGTTCCCCCGAGATAACCCTCGCAACACAAGGTTCTCCATCAATTACTTCACAAGTATTGGGATGGGTGCTATCACCGAAGAGATGCGCGAATACCTACAGAACATGCCAAAACCAGCGCTGCCAGCCTTACCTGCGGCTGCTGCCGATGCTACATCAGACTCAGGAAGTTCTGTTTCTAGTTATTCATCATATACAGGTTCTTCCTATTCAAGATCCCGCTCTCGTTCTCGGTCTCGGTCTCGCTCCCTCTCCCGTTCTCGGTCTCGGTCTCGGTCACCATCCCGCTCTCCGTCCCGCTCTCGTTCCCGGACTCGTTCCCGGACTCGTTCCCGGACTCGGTCTTTATCTCGGTCTCTATCTCGGTCGCGCTCTCCATCTCGTTCTCGATATCGCTCTCGTTATCGCTCTCGGACTAGGTCACGGTCCCGCTCCCCAAGTCGATCACGCTCTCCACCTAAACGATCTCGCAACGGCGATAGGTACTCGCGATCGCTCTCCTCGGAGCGGGCACCGAAACGACAGCGACGATTGTCCGATTAGATTTCGATTAACCGGACACTACAAATTGCATTTGCTTAATAAGGGGGCTTTCTGGGAACGGGGCGTGATACAAATGTATTTAATTTTAATACCCAGTTCAATCAAGAACAGTGAATTTCAATCAACCTTCCAACATACTGCTTGTAATTTTGTGATAATCGGAGATGATTCAAGCCGAATTACTTTTCGGCGCCACCAGCGCCCGCATGACAACTTCATCGTTCGAGTCAGCTGTTGGAGGTAATACTTTGCGATTCATATGATTTCCCGATGAATATTAAGGATCCGTCCCACAAGCTCGGGGTACCTTTGGAGAGTTATTGGTCGCGTGAACTATGGCAAACATAATCCCGAGGCAAAACGCTCACTTTTTACATGTTTTGGCAGGTCAGTGTAGTTTCTTCAAAGTCTACAGCTGTGTGTACGACCTCTGTACGGATTACATTCTCTGGTAGTACGAAAGTATCCCAGACCTCGAGCTTGTAATAGTTGGCTGATAAATCTAGTGATCCATGTTTTGTGCAATTCTTACAACACTGTAGGGAGGGCTTTTGTCATGCACGCAAAGATGTACTCCTTTCTCACCGACGGTAAATCCTTGGGCGTATGCAGGTTACCATTCAAATACTTAAACATCCACCAAACGCTTATATAAAACTTACTCACAAACTTAATAAAGCTAATTCAGGATTATCTGAATAAGGATGTACACAACAAGGTTCAAAATTAACTCAGCCGGGTACTTTGGTCAAACTCAGTGGAGAGGTGTCAAATCTGAGTAAGCAAGGCCTTGTATGTGTAAGCGTTTTTTACTTCCACCAATGTTCCCAACCCCCTAACCTCCCAACCGCCAAAAATGATCACCACCACAATCCACCAACCACCAACCACCAACCATCAATCACATCACACCACACCACACCACACCACCCCATTTCCTGAGAGGACGAGGACATGATGGCTAATGCAAACCTTAAAACAAAATCAACAACCTTCACTTTCTTCTTATCCTGGTTGTTGTTGAACCCGCTCGTCAAACGGTCGACGGGATATACTATTCAACCATCTAAATGCCTACCTAATCTACCCGCAATTTGCCAGGCCAAGAATCCAAGCAACTACCAGATGCTGTACCACTGTCATATTGTGAATCAAAATTGACCCTTGTCAAGTTAGATACTAGTCTTGTAGGGACAAAAGCCAGTCAGCCACGAAATATAAACCGTTTGAGGGACTCTCGGAGGGAGGGATCAAATGATTCCCGTCACATCCATTGATGCATTAGCAACTTCAACCCTTTCGATGCAGCCCGATTCCCGTGTATTCGGAAAATTTATACAAGGGCTATGGAATCAGCCAAGGGTAAAACACAGAAACTCACAATCCAAGGATTTATTTCGCCCCCTCTTCCGTTTTGCATTACCTCCCTTTCTTAACGAATCACCATGAACGTTCAATCGACTAGAACACCTTACCGAGTGTATCGTAATATTGAGCAAAGATCCTCAGCGCGTCAGCACAGTTTGTAAGGCTAACGCTGCCTCACACACTCCCTGCCCAAACCCACTTTCTCTTATAAATGTATGAATGATATTACTACCGTACGAGCCTGTCCTTTCAGATTCGATAGGGAAAAGCTATGTAACAGAGCTTAGAATGTATAGTGCACAGTGCACAACGTCCTTCATCCAATTGTTCCAAATCATGGCCGGCGTCGTATCTCTCTAAAGGAATTTGTCATTTGACTACTTGCTTTTCTCACTTCTCCATCGTACAGTCTATATTTCAGATGGTGTGCAGACAGTACCTAGATCACAGGGCTATCTGCTGCATATGCCAGAGTATATCACTTTCCTTAACGTTTATACAGAAAACATGTAAGCAGTGATTTCTTATCATGTCTGGCGACAAGTTCTTGAGATTCCTTCAGAATACTGATGATTCCTGTGATATAGACTTCATCGGTAGAACATACTTCCCATGCACACGCACCAGTTTGAATTCGGAAACGACGACACCATTGTTTGAAATCAGAAGGACGGATGGATCGGCCATTGTCTACAGTCCCAGTAATATAGTGGTATTGGCAGTGCGGTGATGGATGCACGATCAACGGAGTCTCCCCAATCGTATCGATCAGGCATTAAACGTCCTTGGGAAGACGATACGAAAACACCAACACAACAAACTGGAAGTAGTAGTAGTTGGTATCGCGGAACATTACCACCAATTGAAGCTGGGCCACTTCTACAGTATCCAGTGTATGACAATCCAGGAAACTGGGCGACACCAAACAACCAACATACTCGGAATGGCGAAAGTTCGGTCGTGAAAAGGTCGCGTTACGAGGGGGGTGATTACAAAGGAGTAGCGAGGGTGGATCTAGACGCACTTGGGAAAATGCCCCCATCGCAGGCACGCTGTAGGTGTTTAGGATAGCCTAAAAAACGTCACGTTTAATTACTAACTCAACTCTTGATCTTTAGATTCAGATGGATATGGTCGTGATTATAGTCAGACGATCCAGAACGCTTCTACTCTTGTTCAACCTCCCAGATTGACCGTAAACCGTCGGGTGGACTCCCCGCAACATATGTCTAATATATGTCGTCAGTGTAGGCGGCAGACTACATTTGATCACGAAGAAGAATCTTCACCAGAGTGTTGCGAGCATTGCCAAAAGAACCCTGAACTTGCCCTTGTTACACAAGCTTGCAGCGTTGGGCTTACTCAGCTAGCGGAGACGCTCCGTTCGGGTATAGATTCCGAGAAGCGTGGTATCAATCCAGTAAGTGCCAGCAAAGTGCTTGGTTCTTGTTATCGAAAGGGTTCATTCCGTTCATAGTCACTCATATGTAACCCTTCGAATCATGCTTACAGAATATTAGGCCCACTCACAGTTGCGCCTTCTTCCTTCTGGAGATCCACCTCCAATGATTGACTTTGGTCTAAAACAAACACTCCACTGGATACTTACCAAGATCAACAAAGTCAACGAGCTTGCCGATAAATTCGTCCAGCAGATCCCTCCAGGGTCTTCAAAAGTCCCTCTCAAAAAGGATGCTGTTAACAGTGTGACCCCATATGATCCTCTAATCATCATGAAACGACGTATTGAAGATGATCCCCAGAGAACTACGTTGAATGACATGGGTACATCTGATTCCAGAATGCACCAAAGACGACGTAGGTCTATGGCTAAATCACTCAGCGAAGAACTTCCACCCATAAGAACTCAGTCTCCCAACTACACCCATCTGTCAACCGACAATACGAGCCGGAGGCTTTCGAGTATGAATCCTCCTTCAGCCCCAGCTCGACAATTACCATCTCCACCAGGACGAGCTTTTCCGTCGCCATCTCCGACCTCGGTCAGCTTCTCATCTCCTTCAGGGTCGACATCATACACGGGTCTGTCTGGTGGCCCGTCTCAATCATCAAACTCCCACACTTCTAACCATATCCTACCTCCCATTACAAACGCGCAATCATCGGATAGCGCATTGCAAGTCCACACAGCAGCGCTTCAACATGAGGTTTCTATCCAAAAAATCGCATTATCATCGTTGCAGAGTGAACACGATAAGCTCCTTGCTGCTTTCTCGCGGTCTCAAAGTCGAGCGAGCGCCCTCGAGAAGAAGCACGAGGTTTCCGACATCGAAATTTTTAGCCTTACTGAAGAGAAAACGCGATTACATGCCCAAGTTCTTGAATTGGAGGCAGAAGTCGAGGATCTTGCGAAAAGTAGGGACACCTACCGACAAGCAGCGGTACAAGAAGGGGCACAGTACGTTGAGATTGTGAAGATGGCTAGTCAACTAGAAGAAAAGACTGGGGAAGAGAAAAAGAACTGGAATAAGTTGAGACTTGAGATGGAGCAAAGAATTGAACAATTGACTGCTGGGATGAAGATTCATACCGAAGATTTTGGCGCAACCTCACTCATACCGGAATGCATTGAGAAAAATGCGCCTTCGTCCAGTGAGTACAATGATGAAGGATCAACCGCCATGGCATCGACAAAACCTACTAGTGACAAACAACTTCGTGCAAAGGATGACCAAGCCAATCTTCTCAAAGCGGAAATCGAGCGCTTGCAAAAGCGTTGTGAAGAGGTGGAAGCCGCATTGAAAGCTGTCAGGCAGGAAAGTCGATCAATGGAAAGCATTATGGAAGCGTTGAGTAGAGCTGGAAAGGGTATTTTGCAAAAGGTTGAAAGCGTGTCTCTGAGCTCCGAGACATCCTCGGAACCACAATTAGATTCACGACCCAAGCAAGAAATCGATCGGCTACTACTTGAAGAATAAAATTCCCACATTATATACGACAAAAAATACAAGTAAGTAATCTGCGATATGTGTTTGTTCACATCATTGCTGGCGTAGAGCAGACTTCACACAAATACATTTGTGTTCGAATGGGTTATGGATCCGTGTATATGGATAAGATTAGGTGATTCACTGCGTCTTACCAGACATAAAAGGGCCTTTCTCGAGATGATTAGATATTCTTGATCTAGACATCAAACAATGATTTTAATATTCAATATGGGTTATTCTACTTGACATGACATGAAATTTACGGAAACGTTATTTGAAAGAGCAATATAGTATATAATTCTAAGTGATCCAGTGAGTTCCACAACATACAAGTACTATGTTAAACAATTAGACAGACTGATATTTTTCAAACATCAACGTTGCCGCTCTGGGGATATGAATGTAAATTATGTTTTGTCGCTCTGCGCATATCACGTCGAAACCCCATATAATTGGTCGTAACCTTATATGATCCACTATTACTATCACCCAATAATATGGTCAAAGCTCTGTTTCCTGCGACAACTCTCCTACAAATCTGTAACATCTTGAATCCTCCTCGACCTCACATCGACCTCTCATCGACCGCTCTCCTCCAGCTTCCCCCCGCCAGCGTTCCTCACTGAGCCTCAAAACATGGGCTCATAGTAACACCATGCCAAGGATTTGAAACGCCAGTAGACTGTCTCATATATCTTAGGTTTTTAGGGGAGAAGCGTCTCCTTCTCTCCCGTCGTAGGTTTTAATCTCTTGTTTCTCTCTCTGTCTGTATTCCGTACATTGTTTGCATTGTCGAAAAATCGTGCTACCACTTGCCTTCTGTTGACCGGATCGAATTCTCCACCCTTTCGAGATACTTGACAATTAATCATCTACATTTTTCACATACAATTGATATCGATCGCATCATCACTATCCCTCCGAATCACACATCCACCCAGCTTGCCGATTTAAGTCTCGTCTTCAATCTTGGACTCTATCCTCATCTCCATACTTACTCTTTACGAAGCACCATAAGCGAAAATGGGACAAGCATTCTCTGGACCCGATGCCTTCAAATGGTTGAGATTCACGCCTAAAGCCACCGCCGTTCTCCAAGCAAACCCATTTCTTTTCGTCCAATTGATTCTAGTGTTGAATGGATTGTTCGTGTTGGCTGGAATTGCGTTTTGGATTCACTACGAAACAAACAAGCCATATGCGAAGCCGAAAGTTAAGAAGGATGCGAAGAAGTAGAAGATGGTCCTGGGGGGGGGGGGGTGGACACTAAAGAGAGATGCTGTGAACGGCAAGGTGCTAAGGGCTCTGCATAGCGGTATCGCAGGGAGGAGCTTTGGGATTTAAGGAGGGGCTGGAGTGATATGAGACAATTCGACGAAAAATATGTGCTGGGCACAGGATGGATATGCTATAAGATTGACGAATAATATGTGGAGTAGTTGGGTTCGGACAGAGAGTCCTAGGATATTGGCAGAGGGAGAATAATACCTATATGTTTGTTTTAAGTGGGTGGCTGCTAGAATGGAAAGGTTATATCCTGAAGACGTTTTGTTATTTATACATTTGCTTCTCAAGTGTTTGGCATTTATATATCATTTTTTGCTTTCTTCGCCAAACTTCGAAATGTAATGCAAAATAGAATATCTTCTTTCTCTATGCCTTCAAATGTGTCATTGCTTAGCGTTCCGTGATTGCGTGCACGCATGGCACCCGTTGAGATACCAAACTCATGGCATCGGGTGTATGCATCCTGCGATATTACTTCTCCAACCCTCCAGCTGTACTGTCAACTGAGTTCCTACGGGTGAGAATCATAGGATTGGAGCTTCAGACATGTGTGCACGTTATATCAATACTCATATATGTATATCATTTCATGCACCCACATTCGCATCACCTCGGCTTTCGTCTCAATTGCATGTGTATCAACAACCGATCCGATCTCACTTGTTCAAGCATATTCACACATCTGCATTGAACAGAACCCTGGAACCCATGATAATACATCGATTTGAAAACTCGGAATTTAACCATTCAGTATCCCATAGAGCCAAACATGAATATTTACCCTTGTCGTAAGTTCTGTAGCCAGCTCTTCATTGTTGAAGAGCGAGATGTTAACCTACTACATTCCAGCTCGAGACTTCGGTGAATAGCTCCTGATTATCTAGAAAGGTATCCTTATTTGAGTGATGCCACACAACGACTTACCTATTGAAATACTTGTGATTTGCAATCCATGAAAGAGTACATCTCAGCCGAGGTTTCCAGTCTATCACCGAGGTCTGTAGAGTTTGGACATCTCTATAGAGTTTGACAGGAGGATATCACAACAAAATTAGCACATCGATTCCTATCCCTTAAAGCCACATTTCACCTGTCGCATCGACACGGGAAGCGACCTGAATCTCTAATTCTAGTGGTCAAGAATATTCCATTTGATAGCGAACGCTGAAGAATGAATAATAATCGCTGTTTCCGCCCACCATGTCAAATCATGTACATATTAAAGTCCTCTTATCGTAACTCTCTCTGTGTCATAATCATAGCAAAATCCGGCACATCACTTCCGATATGCACAGCATCAGCCCACGGGAATTTCCCCTGTAGCCATCTCCTCCCTAACCTCCTTTCATTCATCGCCTTGGCCATATCTTTAAGCGGCTGTGACAGTCGATCATTCAATTCACTAACCCTATTCAATTCTTCAACGGCGTACTCATGCGCACGCTCTTTGCTTGAAATCTCCCGCCGTATGATCACAAATTGTTTTTGTAACCACTGCATTCTCTGAGATATTACGTGTTCTTTCTCAGCCGTAATTAGAATGTCAAAGTGTGGACCATCATTGCTGTTCCTTAGTAAACGTGCAGCTAATGAGTGAAATTCTTGCTCGGCTGGTATGATAGCGGATTTTAAATACGCTATTTGCTTCTGTAGATGTTCTAGTTCGAGGCATAGATCTTGGGCTGATTTTGTATCTTCATGTCCCTCTGGAAGCGCCGTTCTTGGAGAGAATCCATATGGCCGATCATAACATTGGTCGAGATATGGCTGCATGGAAGAATCGGCAGGGAATGTGCGGGAGATGTATCTCCTCGGTTTGGAAGTTTGCATTGTTCTCAGCTCTGAGGTCTTTTCTGGAGCCTCCCATGTCTCAGATCTGAATTGTCCGCGATTCCTTCGAGCGCCAATCTTGTTGTCGAGAGGTTGCTTGCCCGGTCTATGTGTAAGATTGAAGATGTTGTAATCTTCTCTCCATTCTGGGACTTGTGGGCACAATTCAGGATCTTGAATGTTCGTGGTAGTCGCGAGTTGTTCGTTTGCCGGGCTATCTATAGTCGAGATGTGTCCTGGGCCACAGGGAGGATATTCATCTTGTACACAATATGGGGGTGGGGGCACTGATGATTGTAGGCTACCATGAGTGTCTGGCGGTAGGCTGTGTCCTTCCAGTTCAGAACTTTGTGAGTCTCGTCTGAGTGCTCTCACATCAAATTTGTGCTTCTCTGGCATGATGATATGGCACTACCAAGACCCAACAGCTTTTGTGCGTATAGTGTAATGGTGTGATCAGAAGAGATGGTATAGCTTCCAGGGCTGGCTGTGGCACAATCATTCATAAGATGATAGCGGTTGGGGTTAAAGTTCTATTATTCCGCAAAGTATTTTGAAATATATGTGCCGTCAATAGTTGGGGAATAAGATGATCAATGATATTAAAAGATGTGAGGTCGCTGAGTTCCTGACAAAATTTTATGGAGAATAGGTGTGATGAAGTGTGTAGAGTTAAGTGGAAGTAGGGTGGGAATGATGTCTGCAGTGGTGAAATTATTGCAATGCCACTTGCCAAACTTGCTAGTAGGGCGACTATATTGAGCAGGGCAGGAACATTACAGAACGAATACTTTTGAAAGTTCAGGTTTGCTCTGTAATAAAAGAAAACATGATTTCAAACAGAAACGAATGTGCGTTTCGAGTTGATGTACAGCGACATTGATTATGAATATTAAGTTGCGACAATTCCAGGGAATATAATTAGATCTCTTCCGTACATTTTCAGGGAACACTCTCTTGCCCTTCTCTTGTCATTTGCCTATCCTGACCAGCTTTTTGAGGTTGTAAGCATGGAAAATCGAAACCTCATTCTGCACTGCTGTCTGTTTACTTGCTGGCTGAAACCTTTCTTCGATCGCCTTTGACGGCTGTGGCTGCTTTCTTCTCCACCTTAGCGAAAATTGGCCCGGTAGAAAAGATGTTAGGCAAGAACTTGCCAACTCGGGCTTGGTATTCCTGATAATCTGGATATTTCTTTGCTGTTATGAGCTCGGTCAACCAAGTTGAGGCCTGGAAAAGAATCAAGTACGACATGGCACCGGCAAATGTCCAGTTGAATAATACTTCACTGGTCCAGCAGCCCCACATATAGAGTACTACCCATATAGTCTGCTCAGCGGCAAAATTTGGGTGTCTGCTGAAGGACCAGAGACCAGAGGTCACAAAGCCGCGGTCGAGCGACTCTTGGTCGAATCCCCCTTGTACTTTGGCGGTCTTTAAGTATTGTTGCTTCGCAGCTTGATAGTCTGGTTTTGGAAAACGTTAGCCATGCAACAGAAAAGATGTCTATAATCACATACTCCACTGTTGTCCATCTGCAAAATACTCAAACACAACAAGAGTGATAAGACCTCTGGAGAATATTAAATCTGCAGTCGTCCACGGTACTCCGTATCGTGCAGCTAAGAGCATAACATATGATGGCGTTGCAACTAGAAAGAGCAGAATGCTTTGTGCCAATGATATGAAGACGATATTGAAGACGAAGAAGAGTGCTGGAGGAACGTTTCGTCGGACAATCTCCCTGAGAAGTGGTTAGCCCTAAACTTATACCCATCATAGAGAGACATACCAGCGATAATCTTCGGATCCAATGCTATAGCCACCCTTTCTCCAGTAATTATATGTCAAGCGTAACTGTTATTTGTCAAAACCAAATTACTAAATCGAGAGGGGCACTACATACACTCCATATTGTACTAAAAGCGAGGACGTTGTCTAGTCGCCCTGTTGGTAGACCAGAAAGGTGTGCATAGATTGCAAAATGGGCATTGTATATGGTAGGCAAGATACTCCAACATCTGTCGACTTGAGAATAGTTTTTGTTGAGCTCCGAAACCAATAGGAATACAGGCGTTAAGAACAACGAGAATGCGAAGGCAGTTATGAGTGGATTCGTAGCCAGATAGAGGTTTCGAAGCTCGGTAGGATTCGAATATGACTGAAGTACTTGCTGAGGTAAATCGTACAATTGTGGCAGATATGGCAAGACTGTCTTCGTGATGTTTGAACAATCCTCGATTGCTTTAATGACTGGCAACGCCATGCTTGTGGCAAGTTGATTTCTCTGTTGCTCGATATTGAGCAATTAATAGGGTGGTAGTTAGATGAGTCAAGCTAACTTTGAATATATCCTCAAAGTTGCACGGAATTGATGCTTGCCAGAGAGGCGAAAGAGTTGGAGTCGACGGAGTGAATGGAGTGAAGCTTGAATTTTGAAGCTCTGGATGACATCGTTTTTCATTTAGCGGGGATACATATACCGACATGGATTTATGGAGCTACAGCCAATGATCGAGCTCGATGAGCTACGGCTTCATTAAACAATTGTATAAATATAGAAATGCATAAAATATTATTCAAAGTCAAACGTCTGGGCACCTGCAGCTATTTCGTATTCGGATCGGTACATTACAATTCATAAAATCTCATCAACCTGGAATTGATGGCAACAGCATAGGCATCAATTTCTGTACATAATCTTTACTTACTGATACTGAGTAACACAAAACCTCTGTAAATAGGTAGTTTCATGATACTCTTGCAAGTCCATACCCCAATAGATCAATTCTATGAAGCTGAGTAACAAAACAATGATTATAGACCAAGACGTTCGTTCGTTCGTGTCACAGAGGAAAGTATTATAAGAGCTTCATCCGCAAGGCCTCGTAGACTTAGGAGTCGGCGATGGAAAAGAACCACACGTGAATGAGCACGCGTGAATCTGATATCAAGATGGTTGCAAAGATTCTCTGTGTTGCAGAGAAACCTTCTATTGCCAAAGCTGTAGCTAATCATTTAGCTGGGGGCAATGCTCAAGCGGTAAGTCACAATGTCAAATTTTGCTACATTATCACTATCATTGTCTAATGATCACACAAGGCAAATACTCGCAACAAATATATCAAGAATTACTCATTCACCTTCGATTTTGGTGGACAATGGGGTAATTGCAATGCGGTTATGACTTCGGTCTCGGGGCATCTTACCTCTCTTGATGTTGCTCCAACTCACAAAGGCTGGACTGACCCTCCACCCCAAGAACTCTTTTTCAGAGCCAAGGTTATCGAATCTGTTGCTGAGGTGATTTGATCTCATCCTTTGCCTGGCAAGTTTTTCACTGATGCATTTCCACAGGACAAGAAAGATATCGCACAGAATATCGAGGCTGAGGCAAGGGGTGCTAAGGCTCTTTTCATATGGACTGATTGTGACCGTGAGGGAGAGCATATTGGCGGTGAAGTGAGAGCTCAAGCACTCAAAGGCAACCCACGAATTGAGATCAAGAGGGCAAGGTTCAGTAATATTGAGCGAGCGTAAGTGAATCTACACTCTGCGATTTCAGATTTCTAGCTAACTATAAAAGGCATGTAATTCAAGCAGCTAAAAATCCAGTTGACTTAGATCAACGTCAAGTAGATGCTGTGGCTGCTCGTATAGAACTTGATCTAAGGATTGGATACGCATTTACACGATTCCAGACAACCAACCTTCAAAAGTTAGGAGGGCCACTAGCAACAAAAATGTTGAGCTATGGTAAACAACTCCATTCCCATCTCATGAGGCACTTGCATACTAATAGTGGTCTAGGTTCTTGTCAGTTTCCCACTCTTGGTTTCGTCGTTGATCGATATTTCAAAGTAAAGAACTTCGTACCCGAACCATTCTGGAGCATTAAGGTTACGCACAGCCGAGAAGATATGAATGTCATCTTCAATTGGAAACGCAATCGTCTATTTGACCGAGCAGTTGTGATCATATTATTTGAACGTTGTCTTGCTGCAAAAGTTGCTAAGGTCACCAAGGTACAGGAGAAACCGACTAGCAAGTGGAAGCCTCTTCCTCTAACTACCGTCGAGCTGCAGAAAGCTGCTAGTCGTTGGCTGAATATGAACAGTCAGGTGGCTATGACTGCAGCAGAGAGCCTCTACACAAAGGGTTTCATTAGTTATCCGAGAACGGAGACTGATCGATTCGACAAAGGGATGAATTTGAGAGCTCTAGTTGAAAAGCAAGTTCAAGACAATCGATGGGGACCGTTTGCTCAGAATTTGGTGAATGGGGGATTTCATTGGCCTCGAGAGGGCCGAAATGACGATAAGGCACATCCGCCTATTCATCCTGTGACATACGTTGCATCCACTGCTTTGAGGCCAGAAGAAGCTCGGGTTTACGAATTTGTTGTTCGGAGGTTCCTAGCCTGTTGCTCAGAAGATGCTAAAGGGCAGGCAACTGACGTGGAGCTTGAATATGGGGAGGAAACTTTTCACACGCATGGACTAGTTGTGCTGGCAAAAAACTATCTGGATGTTTATGTTTACGAGAGATGGAACAGCAGTACAGCATTGCCAAAGTTTACCCTTGGGGAAAGATTTGAACCTGACGAGGCCATGATCACGGATGGGAAAACAACAGCTCCAGGGTATTTAACCGAGCCCGATCTTATTGCTCTAATGGACGCAAATGGAATCGGTACTGATGCAACTATGGCCGAGCATATTGCTAAAATCAAAGAGCGCGAATACGTGTTTACAAGGCCCAAGGCAGGTGGGGCCGCCGCCGGAAATAATGATGACAACACGCCAGCTGCAGGCCGAGGAGGACGTGGCGGACGCGGTGGAAGGGGTGGAAGAGGGGGTAGAGGGGGAGCTGCAGCTGCAGATGCGGGGGGCAGAGGTGGAGTGGAAGAGTTCATCCCGACCACACTTGGAGTCGCCCTAGTGGAAGGCTATGATAACATGGAATTCGAAGTCAGCCTCAGCAAGCCGTTCCTGAGAAAACAGATGGAGCTCAAGATGAAAGCCATTTGTGAAGGACAGAATACACGTCAGGCCGTTGTTCAGGAGAGTTTAACGCAATATCATCGGGTGTTTCTTGACTCCACGGAGAGGTTAAGTGTTTTGAAAGCAGTAAGTGACATCATGACTCCATTCACACGGCCCCACAATCACCGCAATCTCTAACATATATTGTTCAGGCTTGTAGAAAATATGTACTTAATGGTGGAGCTGGGCGTTAGCAATACCCATTTGATTTTGGCTTGGTCGGTTGTTTGCAATTGATTGCATAATTAGCGTTCTCCATCCCATCTTCACCTCAATGTATCGGGTCAGTCTATGGTGCTTCCTCGGCTTAACATGACGGATTGGGCATAAAAGTATCACATAGAGAGAATTGTG